CTCTTCCAGTCAGTTGGCCAAGTGGTTGTTCTTCAGATTTCTTGGCACAACTTGGTGAGCACATCCACGGCAGCATCTGTTAGCTGAAATATGTCAATTGGTATACATGGTATATTAAAAACTCTTCGTCAGCACCACAGCTCAAAGGCATCAATTCTCCTTCTATTATTCCTAGTCATTCTCCAGCTCTCTGATGTATAGCAAGCAATTACGAGGGCTATGGCCTGGATCAGGTGTACCTTAGTCTCCAGCCTGACATCATTGCTCTTCAGTACTCTGGAAAGGTCCCTGACAGCCGACTTTCCCAATGCAATTCATTTCTTCGCTGCTGGTACCAACATTGTTGATTGTGGAGCCAAGCAAACTAAAGCTGTTAACAATCTCAGTCTCTTCACCATCCATCATGAGATATTTTTTTTCCATGTAATGGAATACTATGCAACAGTGAAAAGTAATGAACTTATAAAAGATTACATAACATGGGTGACCCTAGAGGATATTATGCTGAGAGAAATATCTCAGTCACAAAAGGAAAAATACTGCAAAGCACCACTGTTGTTATAAAGCACAACTGACATGAGGAGCTGGGAGGAGAATAGGATAAGAGATAATGAATACTGCACTGGAACAAAAGAAGGAAAGAACTATTTAAAAGGAATATATGATTAGGCATTGTACATATGACCACAGTCCAGAATGAGAAGTACATTGCAAAGAAAACTGGGGGAAGAGGGAGGTAATGAATATTTAAAATAAAAAGGTGAACTGGAGGAGGGAAGGAGAGGGAGAGGGAGAGGGGGGAAATGTGCAACAGTGAATGTATGGCAATCCAACTTTTTTGTAAACTTTCTTTACAATCACAATTAAAATAAAAATGTTATTTAAAAAATGAATAAAACTGTGAGGTATTAAATGATTTTAAAAACTGTGAACTTTAGAAAACAGTTACTAGGCCTGGCTTCAAAGCCCTTTTAGGTAGATTTGAACCATCAACCATTTGACTAGTAGTCTAGTGCTTAATCACTTGTGACTTCTAGGGACTAGGAAGGCTCTAGGCACATCATAGTAATTAGTGCTTATGAAGGGCTTCCAATGGACCAAGCACAGAGTGGTAATATTCGCTCCTTTTTTTCTTTTTTCTTTTTGTTTACTTTTACCACCATTCTAAGAGGCAAGGGCTTTTAATTGACTTTTGAGGGTGAGACAATGGAGGATCACATGATAAGATCAAGGTTTTATAGCTGGTAAGTTGTGGAATTGGTATTTGAACCCAGGCTCTAAAGTGTAGGGATTGGTTTTTATATTTTCTGTTGTTGTTTGCTTTGTCTTGTTTTCTTAACTATTCCACTATGAATGGTAGACATTATTGTTAAGTCCATTTATAATAGTAAAGTATCATATATTTAATTTGCTCTAAGCAGTGTTCCAAGGCAGAAGAGTTTCACAATAAACGAGACAGGAGAGGTAGGTGTCCCCTTGGTTCTGATTATTGGCTCACCATTCGAAGAAGGCACTCAGAACCAGGATGCAGTTCCTGAACCAAGAGCTCAAGAAAATATTCAAAAGAAAAGTGAACTTAGGACTCCGCTCTGATATCAAGAAAAGATACCCATTTTTCTTGTTCACATTTTAGAGTTTTATCCACACACTTCTGTGTTTTGAAGCCCCATCCCTTTATCACTGGCTGCTCCATTAGTTTACTAAATCCTAATAAGAAAAACACTGAGAATTCACAATATCCCAGGTGCCA